ATAGTCTTTAAACTTAAGTTTCGGAGATGCCAATTTCGTTTTGTCATCAATTGAATTGACAATTGACACGTTACGTTGTCAAAATATTACACACTATTTTTAAGAAATAATGATGTGAAAAAGAAAATATGAATAAAATGATAAATTGCCGGCAATATAAATTAAACGAAATCAGTATTGAGAATTGAAATTTAAAGATAATTTTACTATTTTTTAAAATTTAAGGACATATTTAAAGGTCCAAATTTAGTATTTTAATAAGTTTTTTTTTTACTGTTCAGACTTTTCCTCAACTCCATTTCTTTGCTTGCCTATAAATCCTCTACTCTTCCCCATTCTTCTCTCACACTTTGATTTTTTTAAGAACATTTTGATAATGATGAGCTGCACAAAAAGTTGAACTTTTTATTTTTAAAATTTTTTTTTATTTAATTCAAAATTTGATGAATTTAAAACCTTTAATTTAGAATCTCAAAATTTTAATTATTGAATCATTTTTTGAAGCCTCTCTCACATTCATTCCTCCATTTTTCAACTTCCCTCCGCATGGCATGGCATGGCATGGCATGGCATAGCACATATCCACGTCTCACAACCAATTTTCCTGTCTTTTTTTCCTTCCCAAAACCTTTCCAACAAAAATGGAGCTGAAAAACGAGAATCGCCAGCTTCTATCTAGAAATATTGCTTGCAGCAAATGATAGGCACTGTGGCGATCGGCCGTATTACCACGGGTGGAATGTGCACAAGGGATGCCGTTTCCACAACTCAAAATCCCCAGGGTGTTATACAAATGGGACTTGCTGGGAATCAAGTTTGTTGAAAAATATTTTCCAGGTTTTTTGGGTTTGCCTTCTTAAAATCTAACATTTTTCTTTATATATATATATATATATGTTTGGGCAGCTTCACAATTCAACGCTGTTGAAGTCTTCAGCTGCTTCTACACCTGAAAATCCCGAGGATGTTTCATCGGGGAAAACACTCCAACGCTCAAGTCAGCAATACTCAATA